GTGGCTTGGGAGGAAGCCGCCGGTGGACATGCTGAGGGTGTTCGGTTGCATGGCAGTCGCCCACGTCCCGAAGACCTACCGCAGTAAGTTGGGGGCGAGTGCAATCTGGCGAGTTGGGGGCTGGCTGCTGAGAGCAAGGGATGGCTGCTGTGGGAGCCTTCCGAGGGTGTGTTGTTTGACAGCAGGGATGTGAAGTTTGTTGAGGGCATGATGTATGGGAGCTGGGAGAAACAGCCAGAGGCCAGGGTGTCCCAGTAGATGGAGCAGATCACCATGCAGCTGGACCTGACTCCTAGTATGTGGGAGGAGGGAAAGGAGGCAGCTGCAGAAGGTGGTGCTAGAGAGAAGGTGCAGGAGGCACCTGCCGGTGAAAACAATGGTGTGGAGACTAGCTGTAGCACTAGTGGAGCTGCTGGATCCGAGGGAGGAGAGCAGCAGCAGGGGAAAACTAAGAAGCCGAAGGGTGTTCTTATGAAGGGGTGGGAGACACCTGTCTCCAGGTCAGGACGTACCCGTATGGCTACTAAGAAGCTGACTGCAGGAGCTGATGTAGCAGAGCAGCAGCTTGGGACTGAGGAGGCATTACTGATTCTACCGCATGGCTATGACCCGGATGAGGAAAATGAGAATGCGTACTGTTTTCTTGCCCCTGCACCAGAGGAACCAGCTAGCATGGAGGAGGCATTAGCTGGACCAGATAGGGACAAATGGCTGGCTTCTAGGGATGCTGAGTACCAGAGCCTGCTGGAGAATGGGACTTGGGAACTAGTGGTGCTGCCTGAGGGAAAGAAAGCGGTACAATGCAAGTGGGTGCTAAGGATCAAGACTGACGACAAGGGGCAGGTCACCATTTAAGAGTAGGTTGGTGGCTAAGGGGTTTATGCAGAGGGAGAAGCGGGACTTCAATGAGATCTTTGCTCCCACTGCCAAAACCCCTACCCTTCGTGTCTTGTTGGCAGATGCAGCTGTTGTTGGGAAGTTCATTATCCAGATGGACATATCAACGGCATTCCTCAACGGGATTTTAGAGTAGGAGGTGTTCATGACGCAGCCGCCTGGGTATGAGGATGGTACGGGCAGGGTGTGCAAGCTGAAAAGGTCCATCTACGGCTTGAAGCAGGCGCGATGCTGCTGGTACCAGAAGCTGGCAGCTGTTTAAGAGGAGATGGGATTCAGGACTAGCAGCTGTGATGAGAGCCTCTTTCTCAAGGGGGAGGGGGACAAGCTGGTGTTGTTTCTGGTCTACGTGGACGACATTCTTCTCTTTAGCAGCAGCATGAAGGAGATCTAGAAAGTGCAGCAGTAGCTGATGGTGAACTTCAAGTGCAAGAACCTTGGGGAGGTAAAATACTACCTCGGAATGCACGTGGAGAGGGATCTGGATCACAGGTGGTTGAAGCTGCACCAGGAGAAGTTCATCAAGGAGCTGGGGGAGAAGCATGGGATTGAGAATGAGCGCAAAGTTGCAACTCCCCTGCCAGCATAATTCAAGCTTGTGAAAGATGCAGAGGATGAAGGGGTTGAAGCCGAGGAACAGCAGCAATTTCAGTCCTTGGTGGGCAGCCTCTTGTATGCAGCTGTTCACACAAGGCCCGACATCTCTTTCTCGGTTGGGCAGCTGGCTAGGGTGGTGCAGAATCCATCAGAGGAGCAGGTGGATGCAGCTGAGCGTGTGGTGAAGTATCTGAACTCTCACCCAAGCATTGGAGTTCAATACTCTGCATCTGCACAGGTGAAGCAGAAAGGGGTTGAGGTGCTGAAAGAGAAGGGGGAGAGGCTTGGAGAAGGCAAGCTCTTTCTCACTTGCTTTACCGATGCTACGTGGGCCTCTGAGAAGGAGGATTCCTCATCTGTGGGAGGATACATCAGTGTAGTTGGGGGAGGTCCTGTTAGTTGGAGGTCAAAGAAGCAGACGGAGACAGCACTCTCTTCTGTAGAATCAGAGCATATATGGCGATGTTCCATGGGGTGAAGTAGGTGATTTGGCGGAGGAGGTTGTTAGTGGAGATTGGCCAGGAGCAGAAGGTTGCTACGCCGCTGTGCTTCATGGGCTCAATAAGCACATGCGTATCAAGTGGCACTGACTGCGTAAGGAGGTGAAGAGGGGAACGGTGAATCCAATCTACATCAAGACTCATCAGCAGCCAGCAGACTTCCTCACCACGAGGCTTGCAGATGAGCCTCACTGGCGTTGTGTGCGCATGAGTGGAATGAATATGAACTAGTATGGAATGATATGGATGCAGCCGGCAGGCTGAGGGGGAGTGTGTTGGGTGCAAATTCACATTGCACGACATCCTGCCGTCTGTTTGTATGAGTATGCGTGTGCGAATGCATTTGGGTGTGAATGGAATGTTCGGTGTGTTTGTTTGCTTTCGCAATTTTCGCTTGAAGCATTTGCAGGTACTCGCGCATTATGCGCTTCGGCACAACATTGTACGCGCTATGAACAGTACAAGCAGAAAGGACGAGCACGCAAAGGAACCCGAGATGGAAGCTTTGCGGTTCGGTTGAATTGATTGTGCAGATTCAGTTCTATCCAACTCGAAATTGTACTGTTTTGTTTGGTTGACTATAGTGTAGCAGGGCAGGCACTATAGGGGTACAATTTAGGTGAAGGTTGGATGTTGTTTGTCTGTATCTGCATGCTACAGGGCCAGGGGAATCCAGCGGAACCAGCTTTTGGCTGGTTGGGCAAAGACGAAACAGGTTCTGTTTTTAGGACCTGAACCTGGTTGTTGTTTTCCGAGGTTGGAAAAACAGAAACAGAGGTTGTTTACCAACCTACCACCTGCTGTTTTGTCCAGCCAGGTTGGTTCTGTTGCTTGGAATTATTTGGGATGATCCCTGGTTGTTCCCAGGTTCATTCCCAAGGTCCTTGCTAGCTAGAACTATTTATTCCTTCTCTGTTTGTACCTGAATATAGTCAATTTGATTCAAGCGAATTCCTCCCTTCCTGGAATTTCGTTTCTACGTGGTGCGACGGCGGAATGCTACCTGAGTCAACGCTAGTACGCTAGCACTCCAACGCTAGGCAAACGCTTTCCGAGCCATAACTTCGTAATGGCAGAACTTTTCGCGAGGCAACTTGGTTCATTTTAAAGCTCTTGGAGAGAGCTTCGATATAGGAAATTCTCAGCTTAATCCGATCCATGGTCTGCACGATACGCTGCGCGACGTTCAAGGTACTTTTGCTGTTTTGACTAAGTTTCTCTTGATCCCTCTCTCTACAAACTCGGACCCGAGGATAGGGGCTGTTCTTGTACCAGGCACCCAAGGACCCTTGGAGGTGACCCCGAGGAGAGGTTTTAAGTTTGATAAAGTCTTAATAGCTTGAGCTTATTAGGCCCTTACACCAACAATTTCTCCACCAGCAGATGCCTCCTGTACCTTCTCTCCATCACCACCCTCTGCAGCTACCTACTCTCCCTCCTGCCACATACTAGGAGTCAAGTCCAGCTGCATGGTGATCTGGTCCATTTGCTGGGACACCCTGGCCTCCGGCTGTTTCTCCCAGCTCCCATACATCATGCCCTCAACAAACTTCACATCCCTGCTGTCAAACAACACAACCTTGGATGGTTCCCACAGCAGCCATCCCTTGCTCTCAGCAGCCAGCCCCAGATGCACACACCAGATTGCACTTGCCCCCAACTTACTGCGGTAGGTCTTCGGGACGTGGGCGACTGCCATGCAACCAAATACCCTCAGCATGTCCAGTAGCGGCTTCCTCCCAAGCCACCTCTCCAACGGCACCCACGAGTCATCCCCAACCTTTGTGAGTACCCTGTTCCTAGCGACGGTAGCGTGTCGAACAGAATGGGGCCACATAGAGTTACCCAGCCCATATTCTATTAGCAGCGCCCTAGCTGTCTCCAGAATTGTTCGTTTCGCCCGTTCTGCTACACCGTTAGACTGTAGGGTGTAAGCCGTGGTCAGCTCCATCTGGATGCCCTGCTTCTTGAGCCAGGCCGTCATCTCAGCTCCAAGGAAGTCACCACCCCGATCTGTCCTAATCCGCTTCACCACACATTCCGCTTGCTTCTCCATGAATGGCAGCCAATCATCACGTATCGTAGAGGTGGCGTGGTCCTTTTGCTTAAGCGGATATGCCCACATAAGCCTACTCCAATCATCCACTATGGTCAGAAAGTACCGCTCCCCCTTGTGCCCCTGAACCGGCAGCGGCCCCACCAAGTCCATGTGGACCAGCTCCAATGGCTTCTTGCTCATGCCAGCCACACTATGGAAGGGGAAACGAGAAACCTTTGAGAGCAAACAGATTTCACAATTCTCATCAGATGGCTGTCCGTTCAGTTTCAGACCCTTAACGGCTCCATCTTTCTCCAACTACTTCAACAAGGGCATTGCCATATGCCCCAAGCGTCGGTGTGCCGTTGTCCAATCCGTCTCCCCAGATCTGGCCGACACTTTCATACCAACCCCTCCAACGGCGTTGCACTCCCCCTGGGATGCAGACCCCTCTCCAGCCTGCCCCCCACCATGCCACACCAATGCCGGCAGCTGCCACATGGATCTGTACACGTCCTTGCTCTCGTGCAGATCCCAAAGCACCCGTGTGAGAAAGTATGAACGAGAATGAATGGAACTATGAAATGAAGTGAGTACAAGTACTAACCCTAATTGGGTTGTACCCCCTATGGGATACCCCACTATAGCCTACACAACAGCATAAGCTATAATGTTCTGACACACCCCCATAGACAAAATGGGGGAGATCAGGGGGTCACAAGACCAGTCAAGCAAGACAAAGCAAAGCTCAGGGTGGATCACAAAGTCACCACACATTCCGAGCACAAGTTCAAGGCCACAAGGCCAGTTCACATGCAGGAGTACATATATATATAAGGCTAGACAAGCAAGAGCAGGTATATATATATGTAACAGTACACCTAAGGTGAAGAGGTGAGCAAGTGAGGCAAGACAGGGACAAGACCCAGCTGAGTGCAGAAGCGCTGATGATCACAAGGCGGAAGTGCCTAGGTAAAAACATCAGCAGTGTTGGCCTCAGAGGCCACGTACGCAAGCCGCAACTGTCCACGCTGCTGTAGCTCACGAGCAAGGAAGTAGCGGAGAGCAATGTGCTTTGTTCTGTGGTCCAGTCGCTGCTCTCGACACAAGGCCAGCATGGCCTTGTTGTCTACGTACAGAACTGGAGGAGAACGAGGCGGCTCTCCGAGGTAGGTCAGCAGGTAGGTGAGCCAGCGAAGCTCCTGTGCAGCCATGGCCCCAGCGTAGATCTCGGCCTCACAACTGGAGCCGAGAACAGAAGAGGAGCGAGTAGCCTGCCACGAGACGGAGCCGGAACCAAGGCTGAAGGTGTAACCCTGTGACGACCGCTGTGTAGCCTGGTCGTCAGCCCAGGAAGCGTCTGCGTGCCCAGTGAGGACCACTGGACCGTGCCCTCTAAGCACTAGCCCCATGCCCGAATTACTGCACAAGTAGCGCAACACCCTCTTCGCTGCAGCCATGTACTCTGGTCGGTGTCTCCCAGGAGCAACATAGCGTGCAAGAATGCTAAGAGGGTATGCAAGGTCAGGTCGTGTGCAGGTCATCAGGTACATGAGGCAGCCAACCAGCTTTGGATACGGACCACTCGACTCTACGGACTCATCCGAAGGCAGAGCTGAGAGCGAGTGGCGAGTAGGCAGAGGATTGGCCTGAGGCGAGGAGTACGTGAAGCCGAAGCGCTGAAGGACCTGCTGCACCATGTGTGACTGAGTCAGGGTAATGGTGCGGCGTGCTCTGTCCCGGGTGATCTGCAAGCCAAGGTAGCTACACAATTCACCCAGGTCTGTGCACGTGTGTCGCTTCTGCAGCTCGGACTTCACGTGGGCGAGTCCAGCACTGTCAGCTGTGGCAAAGACCAAGTCGTCGACGTACACGAGGATGTAGAACGGCGGCAGAGAGGTGTCGGTGCGCAGAAACAGCGACGGGTCGGCAGTAGAAGGAGCAAACCCAAGAGCCGCAAGCGTAGTCCTCACTCACGTGGTGCCTGGCGGAGACCGTAGACTGGACGCCGGAGACTCCACTAGGTACCAGGAGGGAACGACCTAGTGAAGCCAGGTGGGCAGCGCAGCCAGATCTCCTTGTGTAGGCTGCCCTGCAAGAAAGCTGTGCTGAAGTCGAGAAAGTGCAGCTCGTAATCACGGTGGGCAGCAACGTGCAGCAGTACCCGAAGAGTGGTCATCTTTGGGGTGGGAGAGAAGGTCTGAAAGTAGTCAACTCCCTGCCGCTGACTGAAGCCACGAGCCATGTAACGCGCCTTGAAGACAGGCGGAGAACCCGGCAGCCGCTTCACCCTGAAAATCCACATGCCACTGACGATGTTCGCCCCAGGAGGGGGGACATCGTCAACGTAGGTGCCTGTGGACTTCCAGGAAGCCATCTCTGTATCCATAGCTGCCTGCCACTGAGAAGAGTAGGGACCCTCTATCGCCTCCGCTTAAGAGCACGGAGTCGGGATGTCAAGTGCATCCGGGTCTCCCTCAGGGGTAAGCAGTACGGACACGAGATGAGGTGAAGCAGCGGCCAAGCACTGGAACTCCTCCCGCCTGTCCTCTAGAACGTCCGTGCCAAGGGCACACTCACCCTCGACGGACGGAGGACAAACAGACTCAGACTCAGCGACAAGACTAGCAGCGTAGTCTAGGCGACAGCGAGCAGCAAAGTCGACGAGCTCAGCAACTAGGGCAGACGCAGCAGTGGACTCGAAAGAAGGGTCAGTGACGATAGTAGCAAGGAGACGCGAGACAGTAGGACTGGCAGCACGAAGAGGGTCCGACTCCGGGTCGGCAAGAGTAGGAAGAGAGGACTGAGGAGGAGAAGGCAAAGGGGCACGCAGAGGAGCAGTGGACAGACGCAAAGACATTTGGTGCGTACCAAGGGCAGGAAGAGGATGCTGACGCGAACCGCGACCACTAGCGCGAGCAGCACGAACAGGTGACGCAGGACGAGACGCAGGCTCACGGCGCTCAGCAAGTCCTCCTGTAGGAGCAGTGTAGGGAGATGGAGCAGATAGTGGGGAGGCAGGCTCTAACTGTAGCTGGGACGGGACAGGCTGTGGACACTCTAAAGAAGGAGGAGGACCTGTAGAAGGTGGAAGACCAAGAACCGGCTGCAGGAGTGGAACGAAGTACGGTCGAGGCCGCGCGGCGACGCCAGACACAGCAGGGACAGCACCAGAACCCCCAGCAGGAGCACCCGCTCCAGCAACACCTCCAGCAGCTCCAGAACCTCCAGCAGCACCAGTAGTACCCCCAGTAGGACCGCGAGCAGTAGGCTCAGCACCAACGCCCGCAATTGCACCAGCTCCAGTCGAGCCCGCAGACCCAGCAGCTCCCGTACTCCCAGTACGAGCACCTCCGGGACCCGCAGCACCAACACCCTCAGTAGCCGAAGAACCTCCAGCTCCAGCAGCACGCCTCCAGCGCCGGGCAAACCACTCGCGCAGCTCCGGTGGAGAGAGTGGCTCCCGGCGAGACGAAGTCCCCGGAGGACCTCCAGGCATAGTACCTCCAGGCTCAGCACCCTCAGGCTCAGCTGCCCCAGACTCAGCACCTCCAGGCACAGCACCCCCAGGCGTAGCACCCCCAAGCTCAGCACCCCCATTCGCAGCACCCCCAAACTCAGCACCCCCAGTCGCGGTACCCCCAGGCTCAGAACCCCCAGGCTCAGTACCCCCCGTCACAGCACCCCCAGGTTCAGCACCCCCAGTCTCAGCACCCCCAGGCTCAGCACCCTCAGCAGCACCAGAGTCACCAGTGACCTCAACAAGCTCGACTGCGTCTACCTGGGACACACCTGAAGGGGCAGGACCCTGAGGGGGGAGGGGGTCTACCGGGGGGGGACCAGGGACAAGGAAGAGCGGGGGCGGGGGTAGGGACGGAGTGCGGTAGGGGAAGAGGCGGTAGGAGGGGACCGACTCGTCAAACGTGACGTCCTAGGAGGACAGAACACGGTGAGAGGTGGGGTGGTAGAACTGCCATCCAGGCGCGTCAGGGGGGAACCCCAGGAAGACGAAAGGAGCAGCACGAGGGGACAGCTTGTCAGCAGACAAGTCGCGGACAAACGCCCGAGATCCCCAGACCCGGAACGCCGACGCATCGCCAACCTTCCCCGTCCACAGCAAGGCTGGGGAGGTCTCCGGCCTGGAGATCCTGGGGTGGAGGTTGATCTGATGCGTCGCGTACCTCACCGCAAACGGCCACAGAAAATGGGGGGCCGCCGCATGCATCATGGACGTACGAGCGACGTCCATGACCATGCCAATGCGGCGCTCAGCAATCCCATTTTGCTGCGGAGAGTCCGGACAGTAGGCTCTCAGAAGGTCTGACGGATGCCTCGTGCGCGACAGTAGGCTCTTAGAAGGCCAGAGGAAAACTCTCCGCCTCTGTCCGAGTGCAGACGCAGAACAGGAAAGTCCGAGCCAAAGCTCTGCCTGAGCTAGAGACGAGCTGCGCGGATCCAGTCGATCAGCACCTCAGTGACATCACCCTTGCTGCGCAAGGGGAAGACTGCGGTGTAACGCGACTAGTCGTCAACAACAAGCAGGAAGTAGCGCTCGTGACCCTGCCCACGGACGCGGGCTGGGCCCCACACGTCCATGTGAAGTGTCTGCAGCGGGGCCTCTGTCGGAGGAAACTGGGAGGAGTGAGGGGCAGCCCTCAGGCGCCCCTCGATACAGGGGACACAGGAAGGGCCAGGCCCCTGAGGAAGGGGAGGGAGGGACCTGGGAAGACCAGAAACAAGGAGACGAGAGGCCATGCCTCTGAGCCAAAGCAGAGAGGGGTGACCAAGGTGGTGGTGCCAGAGGAGAGTCTCGTGAGAGAGGAGACGACACGAACAGGGGGCAGACTCAGGACCAGACCTGGACGCTGCAGCAAACACCTGACCTGACGCAGACACCCTACCAGACTCAGCAACTGGAGGAGACGCAGTGGTCAGTGTGTACAGGCTCGACCTCGACTGACGTGTAAACGTAGCCAGGTGTCGGCCTGTGCGAGCCTCTGTGCAGTGCGTCACTCGCTGACGCGCAGGAGTGAACTGGTGCACTCCACCATCCTGTAGGTCAGCACCACTCACCAAGTTCGTAGAGAACGAGGGGAGGTAGAGACCAGACAGGGTGCCACAGGGAGCAGCCGGACACGGGAGGACTGTGGAGAAGTGAGACAGGACAGGACCCCCAGAGGGGTCAGCCAGAGACACCGCAACCGGCCGACTCAGCGGCGTGAGTGTGGTGCGGTCTCGAAAGAAGGAGCGAGAAGCCCCAGATTCGAGGGTGAAGGTGAGGGAGGCCGAAGCCGACGCAGTACCTGAGAGCGCAGACTCACCAGTACCTGAGGACGCAGACGCACTAGCACCTAGAGCAGCAGCCTCGCAAGCACCTAGGGCAGCAGCCGCACCAGTACCTAGAGCAGCAGTCTCAATGCCCGGATCGGGCGGGAAACACCAGTAACAGTCACCCTCATCACTAATAGTCACAGAGAACATGGCAGACAAAATAGCATCAAAGTCAAGATCATAGATGGCTACCCCCGCCCTAGACAGTTCGCCCCAGCGAGGGATCTCTGTGGCCTCAGGGAACTGGTGACGCCACGCGTCCGTTAGGCGGCCAAAGCAGCGCTGGGTGGGGTGCGCACCCCCACACTGCTCACCCGCACGGTCGCCGGTGCGCAGGACGTAGGTGCGCGGACCAAAACCCCCACCCCGCTGGCGTGCAGTGTACCACTGACGGAGCTGATGAGGGGACAAGGTCTCACGACCACGCTGCTGCTGCTGTCGCGGACCACCACCGGAGCCACTACTCTGCGTAGACCCGTGACCAGCTCCACCGCCACCTCCGCCTCCTCCGCCACCTCCCCCGCCTCCGCCACCACCACCGCCTCCGCTACCACCGCCTCCTCCGCTCCCTCCTCCACCGCCGCCGCCTCCGCCTCCACTGCTACGACCGGTACCCCCACCCCCTCCACCACTCCCTCCACCACCCCCACTCCCTTCGCCGCCTCCACCGCCACCTCCACCGCCCCCGCCAGCTCCTCCAGCGCCCTTGCCCCCCTTGCCCCTCCCTGTGCGGCGCTTCCCCGAAGGGGCAGACGCAGCGCCGACCGACTCGAAACCAACGAGGTCGGCCGCAGCAGTAGAAGCAACAGAGGGCAAGAGGGGGGAGGGAGAACACCCCTCAAAGACAGGGGTGCGGGGGTCACCACGAGAAGCTCCTACAGCGACTATACTCTTCTCCGCTGCTAGGAGGGACTTCTCGAGGAGGTCAACGGTGAGAGTGGTGGGGCACACTTCGAGGAAGTGGTCCCTGACCACTCTAAGGGAGTCAGGGAGTCGGGTGACTATGAAGTAGAGGGTGATGTACATGGGGGGGGGTTCATGGCGCAGAAGTCAGCAGGAAGCGCAGCGCGGTAGCGAGTGTCACTAGTGCGGAGGTGCGTAATGAGGTCAGCGACTGTGGGAAACGCAGCAAGGTCAGGGAAGAGGTAAGGTAGCATGAGACGGCTCAGCGCAGCAGTGGCGGGGGAGGAGTAGCGCGCAACTACAGTGTCGTACAAGGTCTGAGCACTCTTGTACTGACTAAAGTGTGCACGCTCGGAGGTAGGGAGGTGGGGACGCACAGCAAGACGTGCGGCAGCGTCGCGCATGGCTCACTGGGAACGAACAGTGGCGTCAGCATCAGCAGAAGGGGCAGGGGAAGCGCCAAAGATGAGGTCAAAAAGAGAGAGGCCGTCTGCCCTATGACACTGTAAGAACAGCTGCAGGTCATCTACCCAGACCTCGATGTCAATGGCCCGACCCTCATCGTCAAAAGCGAGGACACTAGGGGTAGCCATGACCACAGTCGACTAGCAGTGCAAACAGTAGGGTGAGGGCAGTGCAATGAAAGAGGCGCTGTGCTCACCGGACTGGGTAGCTCGAGAAGCTCGAAAGTAGGGCGGCTAGGCAGCTCGGCGGCTGGGCGGCTCGGCGGCTCGACTGCTGGGCGGCTCGGCTGCTGGGCGGCTCAGCTGCTGGGCAGCTCGGCGGCTCGGTTGCAAGGCGGCTCGGCTGCTGAGCGGCTCGGCGGCTGGGCGGCTCGGCAGCTCGGCTGTCCGGCTGCTCCGGTGCCCGGGAGGCTCGGGGGTGCTGCTGCTGGGCGGCGCGGCGGTCGGCTGCTCGGCTAGGTCGGATGGGTCGGGCAGTCGTGGTGGCGGGTGGCGCTGCAGCAGGTGAGAGGTGGCGAGGCCGCAGGAGAAGGCGGCGAGGCCGCAGCAGAGACGGGCGGCGAGGCCGCAACAGTAACGGGCGGCGGCGGGCCGCTAGTAGGGCGGCGATGGGGCCGCAGGGAGAAGGGCGGCGACGGGCCGCTTTAGGGCAGCAGCGGGCCGTTGCGGAAAGGGCTGCGACGGGCCGCCTCAGGGCGGCAGTGGGCCGCTGCGGAAAGGGCGGCGACGGGCGGCCTTAGGGCAGCGGCGGGCCGCTGCGGAAAGGGTGGCGACGGGCAGCCTTAGGGCGGCGGCGGGCTGCTGCGGAGAGGGCGGCGACGAGCGGCCTTAGGGCGGCGGCGGGCCGCTGCGGAGAGGGCGGCGACGGGCGGCCTTAGAGCGGCGGCGGTCCGCTGCGGAAAGGGCGGCGACGGGTGGCGTAGAGCGGCGGCGGGCCGCTGCGGAAAGTGCGGCGACGGGCGGCCTTAGGGCGGCGGCGGGCCGCTGCGGAAAGGGCGGCGGCGGGCCGCTGCAGAAAGGGCGGCGACGGGCGGCGGCTAGGGCGACGCTAGGGCGTCGGGCCGCTAAGGGCCATTAGGGCGACGGGCCGCTAGGGCGACGGGCCGCTAAGGGTGACGGGTCGCTAGGGTAGGCGCACGTCGGGCAGGGGGGGGGCAGGACGCTCCCCGGGCAGGAAAAAAAAATTGGTGGGCCCTAGGAACAGTTCCCACGAGGGAACCTGCTCGATACCATGAGAAAGTATAGACGAGAATGAATGGAACTATGAAATAAAGTGAGTACAAGTACTAACCCTAATAGGGTTGTACCCCCTATGGGATACCCCACTATAGCCTACACAATAGCATAAGCTATAATGTTCTGACACCGAGTGCCCAGCTGCCCCTTGTAAGTGCGTGCCCCATCCGTGCTAGTGCTCACCCCAGCCTTGGCAAGCTTACAGAGGGAGATGAGGTTGGCCTTGAGTTCAGGAACGAGGAGAACGTCGTGCAGTACCACCTGCTTGCCATCCGCTCCCTTAAACGCAGCTCGTCCCGCACCAGCCACCTTCAGTGCGTGTCCAGAGGCGGAGCACACCTCGTTGATCGGTGCAGCGCGTACGTGGTCCAGCAGGTCCTTGCGCAGCGTCATCGTCCAAGCAGCGCCCGTGTCCAACACCGCATAGTCCAGGGGGTGCAGCTCTGCTCCAACCTTGGCAGAGGCGTCTCCTTGCTCCCCCTGCTCTCCAATATGGAAGAACTGGCCCGCGGTATGCTCCTTCTTCTTTTCCGCACCGCCGTTGCTCTTCGGGTTGTTGTCTGACGAATCCGCGACCATGCTTGCGCTGTTTTTTCTGGTTCCTCCGCGCGGCGCCATCCTTGCAACGATTCTGGGGGGTCCATCCATTGGGTTTCTTATTGCACAAAAACCAGTGGTGCCCCTCCTTATTGAGGAAATGTGAACGAGAATGAGGATGAACTATGAATGAAGTGAGGACAAGTACTAACCCTAATTGGGTTGTACCCCCTATGGGATACCCCACTATAGCCTACACAACAGCATAAGCTATGATGTCCTGACACACCCCCATAGGCAAAGTGGGGGAGAACAGGGGGTCACAAGACCAGTCAAGCAAAGCAAAGCAAAGCTCGGGGTGGATCACAAAGTTACCACACATTCCGAGCACAAGTTCAAGGCCACAAGGCCAGTTCACATGCAGGAGTACATATATATATAAGGCTAGACAAGCAAGAGCAGGTAAATATATATATGTAACAGTACAAGTAAGGTCAAGAGGTGAGCAAGTGAGGCAAGACAGGGACAAGACCCAGCTGAGTGCAGAAGCGCTGATGATCACAAGGCGGGAGTGCCTTGGTGAAAACATCAGCAGTGTTGGCCTCAGAGGCCACGTACGCAAGCCGCAACTGTCCACGCTGCTGTAGCTCACGAGCAAGGAAGTAGCGGAGAGCAATGTGCTTTGTTCTGTGCTCTAGTCGCTGCTCTCGACACAAGGCCAGCATGGCCTTGTTGTCTACTTACAGAACTGGAGGAGAACGAGGCGGCTCTCCGAGGTAGGTCAGCAGGTAGGTGAGCCAGCGAAGCTCCTGTGCAGCCATGGCCCCAGCGTAGATCTCGACCTCACAACTGGAGCCGAGAACAGAAGACGAGCGAGTAGCCCGCCACGAGACAGAGCCGGAACCAAGGCTGAAGGTGTAACCCTGTGACGACCGCTTCGTAGCCTGGTCGTCAGCCCAAGAAGCGTCTGCGTGCCTAGTGAGGACCACTGGACTGCGCCCTCCAAGCACTAGCCCCATGCCCGACGTACTGCACAAGTAGCGCAACACCCTCTTTGCTGCAGCCATGTGCTCTGGTCGGTGTCTCCCAGGAGCAACATAGCGTGCGAGAATGCTAAGAGGGTATGCAAGGTCAGGTCGAGTGCAGGTCATTAGGTACATGAGGCAGCCAACAAGCTCCGGATATGGGCCACTCGACTCTACGGACTCATCCGAAGGCAGAGCTGAGAGTGAGTGGCGAGTAGGCAGAGGAGTGGCCTGAGGCGAGGAGCACGGGCAGCAACGGGCGGCAACGGGCAGCACAAGCACGGGCAGCAACAGGCAGCAACAGGCAGCACAAGCACGGGCAGCAACGGGCGGCAACGGGCAGCAGGGGCGCCGCGCCGCGGGGGGTCCCCCAGGGCGTCGTGATAGGGCAGCGAGGGCCGTGCACCGGGTTGTGGGGCAACGCAATGGGCAGAAAAAACGTCACGCGCCACCCAGGCGCGGGACAGAACGAAAATCGCCACGCGCCCGAGGCGCGCGACCGGGAAAACATCAGCGGAAGTGAGAGGCTGGCCCACAGGCCAGGACTTAATAGGCTCTAATACCATGATGAGATACTAAGCATAGGTGGGCTTAGGAGCCATAGTTTAGTTAGGTTTAGTAGAGGTCGAGAGAGTTGAGAGAGGAGAAAGAGGGCTTCACTATAGGTTGGCAACAACATATAGCAAAGAAACAAAGAAGGTGCACCACCAAACAAAGTTTATAATAACTACACTAACTACAGCTACAGGCAGTTACAGATATATTCTGACACTTCTCACAATACCAGCAACTCCTTTTCATTTTGCCACCAGCACCCGACTTGCCCCCACGTCCAGATTTCGCATCACGACCCCAACCAGTACCTCCTTGTTGGTCATTGGAGTCGTCGTCCTTTATCTCGTAGCTGCTGCTGCCGTCGTCTCCACCCCTCAGTTGGCGGCGACGGAAGTCCTCCTCCAGAATCTTTGTCCGCACCCACTCGAGTGTCCACGAGCTCTGGTTCTACGGCAGGCTCAATCCGCTCGTGAATCGAAGCCACGATTCCGGCAGCAGCGAGAGCATCTTCAAGCACTTGGTCTGCTCCAAGTAGGTGATTCCCGCGGTCGCCAACTTTGCGTAGAGGTCGCGCATCTTGTCCAGGACAGGTTGCACCGGCTCTCCCTCGCTCAGGCGCAACGCGGACAGCTCCCTCTCCATGCCTTCGGACCGCACTCAACCTCCGGCAGCAGGTGCATAACGTGGTGACGCTGGTTCAACTCCAAACTCTGCGACATCAAATGGTAGCCAGCCGAGGAGCGCTTGTCCCAGTCTTCCTGCAGCGTCACTCGGTCTAGGCTCCTCCCCAATCATTAGTTTCAACAATCGAATCTGACGGAAATACAATTGCATTTTCCAGGCCTAATCATCATAGCCCTCACCATTGAACTTTTCCACGGTGAAGTTTTTCAGCACCTCCTTGACCAGCGAGCCCTGGTTTGTTCGTGCTCCCCTTGGCGCTGAAACACCAAAATCATGGCTGCCGTCGAGGTATTGCCCGCCATAGCTACCTTTAACGAGGATCACTATAGCGCAGCTCTGATACCAGCTTGTTGGGGTAAGGGGCCTAATAAACTCAAGCTATTAAGACTTAATCAAACTTAAAACCTCTCCTCGGGGTCACCTCAAAGGGTACTTGGGTGCCTGGTACAAGACCAGCCCCTATCCTCGGGTCCGAGTTTGTAGAGAGAGGGATCAAGAGGGACTTAGTCAAAACAGCAAGAGTACCTTACACATCGCGCAACGTATCGTGCAGACCGTCAATCGGATTAAGCTGAGAGTTTCCTATATCGAAGCTCGCTCCAAGAGCTTTAAAATGAACCAAGTTGCCTTGCGAAAAGTTCTGCCATTACGAACTTATGGCTCGGACAGCATTTGCCTAGTGTTGGAGTGCTAGCGTACTAGCGTTGACTCGGGTAGCATTCTGTCGTCGTACTGTGTAGAACGAAATTCTAGGAAGGGAGGAATTCGCTTGAATCAAATTGACTATATCCAGGTACAAACAGAGAAGGAATAAATAGTTCTAGCTAGCAAGGACCTTAGGAATGAAGCTGGGAACAACCAAGGATCACCCAAAAAATTCCAAGCAACTGAACCAACCTGGCTGGACAGCCTCTGGTTCTGTTTTTTCCAACCTGGAAAAACAACAACCAGGTTCAGGTCCTACAAACATGACCTGTTTCGTCTTTGCCCAACCAGCCAAAAGCTGGTTCCGCTGGTTTCCCCTAGCCCTGTAGCATGCAGATACACACAAACAACATCCAACCTTCACCTAAATTGTACCCCTATAGTGCC